GGTTTACCCCTCCTCCTACCCCCTCCCCTGGACCTGGACGGGGGGTCCCCCGAGGGGTTGAAGCGTCCAAGATGGCTCAAGATGGCTCCAAGAGCGCCTCGGAGAGCCCAAGATGAACTCCGATATGGCTGAAGATATTCCAAGATGCCTCCAGATCGGCTCCCAAGATACTCCAAGAGGCCCCAAGACCGCTCCAAGACGGCTCCAAGTGGCAAAAGAGCTTCCACAGGAGGCCCCGAAGAGGCCCAAGTCCTTCCAAAACTGAGGAAAGTCAATGTTGTTTGCTTTTTCGCCTTTTCGCTTCCGATGGCCATCCGAGGCCTGAGGATGGCTCCAATATGGCCCAAGAGGGCCCCGGGAGAGAACCACGAGCGCCCCAAGACGGCCCCAAGAGCGCCCAAGATCGCTCCAAGAGCACCCCAAGAGCGCCGCAAGAGGCGACTTTGGGGGCTCCCAAACTCCCCTCTTTCTTGATCGATGTCCTTCAGATGGCCAAGAGCGCCCAAAGAGGGTCCCAAGAGGCGCCCAGACGGCCCCAAGAGGCGCCCGAACGGCCCCAAGAGGCGCCCGAGATGCCTCCAAGAGGCTCCCAAGAGACCCCCAAGAGGCTTCAAGAAGATCCCCGAGGCACCCAAGACGCTCAAAGACGGCCCTGAGCTCCCCAAGATGCCCCATCTTCTTCTGCTTCTCCTTCTCCTCCTCCTCCTCCTCCTCCTCCTTGTCCACTGTCTCTTCCTCCTCCCTCCTCTTCGCCCTCCTCCTCCTCCTCCTCCTCCTCGTCTTCCTCCTCCTCCTCGTCCACCATCCTCCCCCCTCCTGGGGTACTCATCGGACGGGTTCCCCCGCCCGTTCTTCTCCTGCATGCCCCCCCGCTTCTCTGATCCAAATCCACTCCCCCAGGCATCGTGTCCGGATGGGCTGACGGGGATGCGCGAAGCGCCGGCAGCTTCCGGGGCCGGCACCTCGTCGATCAGCTGCAGGCGAGGACGGTCGGGAGGACAGGCAGGGACACTTGATCGGGGGTCTGCTGACCCGGGTCATTCGGACCCGGGTCAGCAGGAAACCAAACAACTGCAATGCTGGAAAAAAAACTGCAACGCAGTGCTTCGCAAACCCAGGTCAGCCAATATGCGCGGCCGCCTCGCGGCCACGAGCGGCTCGCTGACCCGGGTCAGCCAAAGGGGGTCTTCGCAGGATCTTGCAGGATCTGGTGCCCTGGCTGACCCCCGTTTGCATTGACCTTCGTCTCTTAAGCTCCGACTTGTACAGGGTCCGACCGTCCTGGCATTCCTATAGGCCTACCACGAAATCCTCGTAGAACCCAAACATGTTCTAAGAAGAAAACCCGAGCATCAGCCCGATGTGTTTAAACAAGACAGTCCCAGCTAGACATGTTCTAACTTTTCGTGGAAACCAACAAAGTTCTTAGAGCATTCTTTGGTAGGCCTATAGGCGAGCCAGGACGCTTCGCAACTGCTTTAGACACTAGATTTAGACTTAGGTCGGGCATGTCCTCCTACAGGCGGATTTTGGGCGAACGGAAACAAGTCACAAGACACCAGAAGAAAAAACTGCATCAACATAAACGTTTGACGGTCCGAGCCGACGTCTTGGATTGGTACTTGGCCCGCCTCCCTGGCGCGCGGGGCGCGCCAAATGCTGCGCCGGAGGCGTCGCCAGGGGGCCCCAGCACGGATCCAAGAAATCCGCGCGGAGCGCCGAAAATTTAGCGTTTGTTTGGGCCCCCGATGTATCCCGGGTAACTTGGGTCCGGGGTAACTTCGGTTTGGACTCCCGAAAAAAAACTAATCCGAAAATGGCCCTGACCCGCATTACCCCTGATGATCTGGGGCTCTGGACGCCCGAATCATCCAGGGTAGCTCGGGCCTGGGGCAGCTCGGGTCCGGCACCCCGAAAGAAACGAACCCGAGCCAGCCCTGACCCGAGTTGCCCCGGATGATTCGGCGCTCTGATTGTCGTGCCGCTCGTGTCCTTCGGGGCGCGCGAGGGCAGCGGCGACAAGAAGCAGCTGGCGAGAGCGGCTGGCGAGACACGGGGAGGACAGCGGCGGACAGCGGCGCGGGAGCACTCTGCGCCTCGCTCTCTCCGGCCCAACCCCTGCTGCGCCTCGTCCTCCTCCTCCTCCTCCTCGTCCTCCTTCTCCGCCTCCTCATCGTGGTCATCGGGTGCTCCTCCTCCCCCTCCTCCTCCTCCTCGCTCTCAGCCTTGTGCCCGTCTGTCTCTCTCTCTCTCTCCCTCTCTCTGACTCTGTGGCAACTGGAGGCGGTGGGGCATGGAGCCCGACAAGAATACTCCTCGCCCTTGTCCTGCCCGCCCTCCTCCTCCTGCTTCTCCTCCCCCTTCTCGTTGTCCTCTCCCTTCGACTTCCCACACATCCGAAGTCCTGCTGTTGTTCGCACAATAGACCCAGAGGACTAGCTTGACATGCATAATACACGTTTGAGGTGCATGGGGCCCGGTAGAGGCCCCCTGAAGCCGAAATGCGTCAAACAGCTTCCGTCGCTGGAGGGGCACAGACAGTGTCACAACGACACGCCGCCGTGGGGAATCCATCGGCGCGTCACCGCCGAAGAAAAGGATGCCGATGAGCAGCTCGCTGTAGCACGCTGACGGGCTCCTTCAGTCGGACTCGATTGGGAAGGACGCGCGAGAAGACACAAGACCCTTCCGAAGGTCGGGTCGGGCGAAAGGGGGGGATAGCAAGGGGGGATTTGAGAATCAGCTCACGTAGCTGATTTCCCCGGCGCCTCCTGGCGCCGGGAGGCGCCCATGTATCGAGGAATGGGACCGGCGGCGGGGCCGAAACCAGCTGCATGCAGCAGATTTCGTTACCCCCCCCCCTTTCCCAATCCCCCCCTTTCGCCCGACCCTTCCGAAGGCCACGTTGCCACATAAATGCAGGAGGCATGGGTCGCAAGACGCAGGACACAAGGGTGCCCTTGATCTGGCAGGGTCGACCTACTAATCCGTGCCGCCTGTAACAGCAACGTGTCATTGATACTATTTCTCCCGGGCCACTCTTGATTGTGCTCACGGCGCGAGGATGTCACGGTTCTCATCCTTTTCCTGCTCCTCAACATTGAGGGGCAACGGTCAGGGCGGAGGGGAGGGGAACATCCACCTGAAATCGTTGCTACATCGCTGACACGCCAGCGACAACCCCCGATGGCGAATCCCAAAGCTACTGGGCGGGGTGGGCCATGGGGCCCCCGGCGGCGATCAGTGAGCGCTTGAGGGTCGATGCGTCCCCCCCCTCCCCCCTGAGCCTGGGCCCCTCCCCCTCCCCCTCCTCCTCCCCCTCCCCCTCCCCCTCCCCCTCCCCTCCCCCCCCTCCTCCCCCTCCCCCTCCCCCTCCTCCTCCTCCTCCTCCTCCTCCTCCTCCGCCTCCTCCGCCTTCGGGGCACCCCCTGGGCTTCCAACGGCCACTCAAAACGACCCGAGCAGCCCCGGGACGCTCTCGGCGAGGCGAGGCTGCTGGAGAGCGAGCGCAGAGGCTGGCGAGCGGCCGAGAACCAGGATTCAAGGCGGGCCTGTCCCTCTACAGGAGGAATCTTCAAAAATAGTAAAAAAATAGCAGTGCGACCCTACCTAGGAGTTGGAGGATCTAGGAAAACAACAACAATATGAAGCTAAGTTAAGCTAAGTTAAGCTAAGGTAAGATGAAATGAGCTAAACTAGGATGAGATAAGCAACGCGAAGCTAAGGGAACGTCACTGGGGGAACCGCGGGGCGGATACTGGGGGAACCGCCCGGGGCGTGCCCCACTGCCCGGCCCTTTAAGCCTCCGAATAAGAACCCTTCTAGGCAGAGCCTAGGTAGGGAATATTATGGGAACCATTTGGTGAGCATTCTTTGGCGATGTTTGAATATTGTTTGGGGTATTTTTGACTTTTCGTCCAAGATCCCTCGGTACGGGGACATGCCCGACTGTGAGCCAGGGGGCAAACGCCCGGACATCTCGAGCCCAACCTTTTCCCCCCCGAGCGAGTCGCCCCCCCCTAGCAGTCGGGCAGGGGATCGACTGCAGAATTGGTCTGCCCCCGAATGGATTGCCTCGTCGAATCTACGAAAACGAGGCAGAATGTCCCGTGCATCTGCGAACACTCTACGCATGCATCGTAGGTTCGACGGGGAAATCACTGTTGGCGCACAGTCGGGTCGTTGACCTAAGGAACCCTAAATAAGGAACGAGGCCCCTTTTGTTCCCATCAGTTAGGGTTTGATTTCCCTATCGAAAACCTAAGGAACACCTAAGGCAAGCTGTGAAACAATTAAAGGAACACGGAGCCCCTCCCCAACGAAAAGGGTTCCTTCTTCAGCGCCCCGACTGTAAGTCAGTTTTGTAGTCGACCCCATACTGGAAACATTGCCCCTCACACCTTCGGGGCCGGCCCCGACCTCCTGGCACCAGGGCGGCGGCGGCGGCCCCTTTCCCCCGCCCTCCCACCCCCCCAGGAAGGCCGAGGCCAGGGCCGCCACGGGGGGGTCGCCCAAGCAGGCTCCAGACGAGCTCGAGGAGGGCTCCTTCGGGCGGGGGAGGCGCGGAGGGTGAGGAAGAGGAGGAAGAGGAGGAGGAGGAGGAGGAGGAGGGGAAGGAGGAGGAGGAGGAGGAGGAGGAGGAGGAGGAGGAGGAGGAGGAGGAGGGTGGAGGAGGGGAGGAGGGTGGAGGAGGAGGGTGGAGGAGAAGGAGAAGGAGAAGGAGAAGGAGGAGGAGGAGGAGGAGGAGGAGGAGGAGGAGGAGGAAGGAAGGAGTTTGGCCGAAGCTGCCTTTTCGCCCGCAGGGGGCAGGCAGAGGGCAGAGCCGGCCCAACCCCAGGTGTGTCGGGGGCACCGTAACCCCGGCCACGACTGTGTTCCGCGGCTCCAGGCCAGCGGAGCCCGCCTGGCATAGAAGATTACGAGCACACAGGTCCTGGTACCGTACCATCCTCCGCTTGGCCAGCGCCAAGCAAGTGCTGAGAGCGCACCACAGTCGTCAGGGTGTGCCGCACAAGAAGGAGATGTCCAGCCAGATTTCAGGATGGAGGTGCCCGTGTGGGGAAAAGGTGCCAATCACGAAGTGGAACTGCAAGTGCGGCACTCATTTCAATCAGCGCATCCAGATGGTATGGGCGAGAAGGCCGAGGAGCGCCAGTCGAGCACCGTGGCAAGAGCAGGCACTCCACCAGCCGTCCAAGGCGGCAGTCAACAAGATGATAGCCACGGTGAGGCCAATGTCCCTGCAGGAGGCCGAGGTCAACCTGACGTGGGACCCGCCGCCGCTGGACGAGTCCAAGGTCGCAGCGTACCGTGCCAAGGCAAGATCGAAGATGGAGACGCTCGCCCTGTCCGCCATCGCAGCCAAGGCCGCAGATATGGACGACGCAGAAGCTCGCTACGAGATAGCGATGTGGAAGGCCGCGCTGATTGCACTCAAGCCGATCGCCCAGCAGATCGCGGACACGAGGAACAGGAAGATGCGCCTCGACGACAAGATCCGCAAGATCAAGTTCGATCAGATGAAGATGGCGGAGGAGGAGGAGGCAGCCGTCGCAGCAGAGATCGACGAGCTCAAGGCTCAGATCGACCAGCTGGTCCAGGAGGAGGCCGAGCAGGTGGACGACGCCATGCAGGTGCAGCAGCCAAGCCCGCCGCCACCACCTGCGGTGCCAGCAGGCAGTGCGGCCCCAGCGGCCACAGGGTCAAGGCCTACCGCCCCCGCGCCCCCTCCTCCTGGGCAGCATGGACCGCCCTGGCGTGCATGGCAGCAGCAGCAGCCGCAGCAAGCACAGATGCCAGTCATCCCGCAGCACCTCATGGTGCCAGTGGTCCCCCAGCAGTGCTTCGACACCACGAGCATCAAGGGCCATGGCAAGGGGGTGCAGGCTGCGGCGCCAGCGTACGGAGGGCATCCAGTGCCACAGGGCCCAATCGTCGGGGGCACCATGGCAGAACAAGCGTGCCAGCTCAATGGTGTAATCCAGCAGATGGAGAGCAACAAGCAGCAGTTCACAGCCATGCACGACCAGATGCAGCAGATGCAGCAGTACATTGTCGGCCTGACCACGGCAATCAGCGACCTCAACAAGCAGAAGATTGCAGCAGAACGTATGCCAGCACCGCCGTCACCAACAGCGAGTACGGAGGCATCGACTCCAGGGCTGGGGGTAAACGCTACAGCCACGCCACAAGGGGATCTGGGGTTTCGCATGGGCCCGATCACCATCGCCCTCTGAGCCTCGCGCAGGCCTTCGAAGAGTCGCAGCAGGAGCAGATCCCATTCGAGGGCACGCTCACCCCCATCTCGCCGACCCAGGAGGTCAAGGAGATCGAGTCCATCCCAGGCCCGCCGAGATCGATCGCGGGCTACCAGGACAAGTTTGGGGGGCCAGACTCAGCGTTTCCGAGGACCGCGTCGGAGGCCATGAAGTCGGGGGACAGTCCGGCCAGGAAAATCCAGAGGGGAGACGACGAGATAGTCGAGATCACGGACGAGGACCACCAGGCCGAGATCCTGGCCAGGGAGGGCGGAGCGTGAGTTGGGGCCAGAGGCATAGCAAGCTATTTAACGCCGCTCTCCCTGTCAGCCTCGCTCCGACCCAGCCCAGGGTCCCTCCCTCCCCCGTCTTGGTTTCAGCCCTGCGCAGGCGCCCAGTTATCATTTCCCTGGAAGCCTTGTTCAATTTTGAAGGGGATCAGTCCGTCCCCCCCCCTCCCTCGTGAACCTGGGGGCCCGCCGTCCGCCCAGGGCCACGGGCCCGAACCTACTCAAGACGAGAACCCATCTACCGTGCCCAAACAATTTTGCGTTCCGTGTGACAGTTGGGGTGACTTCACGCGTGTTACATCTGCGTTGGGCCCGCGTGTCCGTCTCTCTCGTCAGGTTCCCCTTAATGATCTCCATCCCTCCGCCAGGCTAGCTTGGGAGTTAGCCGAGCCGCCGCAGGCGACACACACAGCCATCGAGATCTATTCCGACGGCTCGTGGCAGCCCGACGACCCAGCCGAGTCGAGTTGGGCCGCGACCGTAGTTGCCAGATCCACCGACAGCACCGATGGTCAAACCAAGGTGCATTGCTGCGGCTACCTGCGGGGGCAGGCGGCCAGGACGACACCAGGGGGTATAGATTTGACCAAAGTTTCCAGCACTACGTTCGAGATACTAGGTATCTACAGGGGGATGCTGTAGATTTTGGCTGGGGCCCCAGGGGAAAACGGGCACCCCATTCTAGACTTCAATCGTAGACCCCTGGTGTCGTTTCTAGTTGATAACACCACCTCATTTGCCTTGACCCAAGTGCACGTTGTGGCCACGGGCGTAGATGGCCAGTTGGTGAAACTGGCCAGGCATGCTCTAAGGGTTGCCAGCAGCAGAGCCGACATTTCCGTTTTTCACGTCCGTTCCCACGTACTGCAGGTTCGTGTCGTGACGACCCCGGCGTTGGTTTCTGACACCGCGCTGGATCGTTCAACCTTGAACGATCGGCCGCTGCCGCAATGTCCGATCGTTCAACATCGATCGATTCTGGGTCGCCGGCGGCGTTCAACCTTGAACGCCCGCGCTGGGGTCGCCGCTGGTCGACACGACACGAACCTACCGTAGGTAACCCATGGAACGAATGCTCCGACTCGCTTTGCAAAACAGGTTCTGCGATTAGCCTCGAAGTTCCCGAAGAGGTCCTGGGGGGCTTGACCTTTAAGCAAGAAGTGGAATGGGATTGGATTCGCCGACTCCCTGACAGATTACGTGCCCAGTATCCCCCCCTGGTCCAGGGAGATTTCAGGGGCCCCCTTGTGCAGCAGGAAGCGAGCGAGGAGCGCATCCGCAAACCGGTGGTCGTGAAGAAGACCACCACGTCAGTGGACATTGAGTTTAAAGTCGTGTCGTTTAACGCCCTCTCGGCCTCAGACAGGGATCAAGGTGTTATCCTGCCAGTGCCACAGAGAAGGATGCTCAAGAAGACGTCGCCCCCGCAGGCCCACAGCAGGGCCAGAGCCCACGGGCCGCACCTCAGGCTCCAGTTTAGGGAAGCCAAGATCCTGTCGGTCGGGGCCCAGGAGGCCAGAAATCCCCAGGGGGCCAGGAGTGCCGAAGGATACGAAGTATTCTCCTCAGGACACGCCAGGGGCAACCTAGGGTGCGAACTCTGGGTTGCCCAGGATGTGCCCTATGGGACCAAAGGAGGCACGGAGTTGTTCCTCGCCAGGAAAAACGCCCACATCCTTCACGCCGACCCCAGGAGGCTGGTGGCCAACATCAAGGCCGCCCACTTTAAAGTTCGAGTGGCTGTGCTGCACGGACCCCGCAGCACTACCTTTGCCTCTGACGAAGACAGAGCTGCTTGGTGGAGAGACACGGACGAGCTCATCGTCAAGTTTCAAGTCTCAGTCACGTTGCGCGATGCCAACGCGAGAGTCGGATCCCTTGTCTCCGAGAGTGTGGGAAGACAAGGGTTTTGTCAGGAGGAGGACGAAGGAGGAGAGTACTTCCACGCGCACCTTCTTGCGACCAAGATGGTCGCCCTTAATACTGTGCTCCCCCAAGCCTCGGAAGGCCACACCTGGGTTTCGCACGCGGGGTCCCCGCATCGGATTGACTACGTCTGCTCTGACCCCGACCTCACTGCGGTGGCGGTCAACACGTATGTATGGTATACGTTAGACGGACAACATGCCAAGCCAGACCATTTTCCAGTTATTGTTCATTTCAAGAGACCTGCTGCCCAGACGGCAGTCAGGCATCAGCAGCGATATGAGTATCGCAAGATCACGGACTCCGAGTGCTGTAAAGGGTTTAGGGCCAGGATTGCGTCCATCGAACCTGTCAGATGGGAGGTTGGGGTTAACGAACATGCCAAGATTATCGAGCAGAGTATCCTGGAAGCGGCTGCAGAAGCCGTCCCCCCCGACCCCGCTCCCCCGCCCTAGAAACCTTACGTTAAGCAGGGAACCCTCCACCTCATCAGGCTCAGGAGGAGAATAAGAACGATATTGAGAGCGTTCAGGAGAATGGACGCCACGGGCATCCTGGACCTTGCCCAGCAGTGTTGCCCAACGCCGCCCCCGATGCTGGTAGGAATACCAGAGGAGGCCCAGGCTCTGTTCATGCCCATCATGCTACAGGGCCTCAAGTTGCCCACCAGCAATTTCTCCGCCAGCAAGTTGGCGGACGCCGCGGCGATGTTCATCCGCATGACCCACAAAGTGGTCAAGAACCTCATCATGGCGGCCAAAACAGAGCTGCTGCAGCAAACGGGGGAACTCCTCACCTCGTCGCTCACCGCTGGATCCGCCAAAATGGAGTGGGCCCACCAGAAAACCCTTGCCCGTATGGGGGGGGGGCTACATCCAAGTACCCCAAAGCCCACCTCCCCATGATGAAAGAAGAAGACGGGGAAGTTTTTCAGTGCGCTGAGGACATCGCCGATAGGTTTTTGAAGCGTTTTGCCGAGATGGAGGCGGGGAAGACCCTCCAGCCATACCTGCTTGTGCATGAGTATACCACCCATTGCCGAGCCACGTGGGACAGAGCCCCAGACGTTGTCACGTGCCCTCTGAGCTTTATGGAACCCAGGGATAGGTTGCAGGAGAGCTTCATGAGGTCTAAGTCGGGGAAGCAGCCAGGGCCGACAGGTCTCAGACACGAGCTGTTGAAGGTCGCCGCTCCAGAGATGGCGAACATTCTCTGCCCCCTTTTCATGAAAGTCACGGTCCAGGGTACCGAACCAATTTCCTGGAAGGGCGGTTGGGCGGTCCCCGTTCCCAAAAAGCCCCCCCCCTGTGTTTCTTCAAAAATTATAGTGAAATCCTGCTGGGGGAAGTGGTGGCCAAGCACCACCACTCCTTCTTGAGGGCGCTTGTTGCCCAGGTTGTTAAAGACCTCGCGGGGCCCAACCAAATGGGGGGTTTACCTGGGAGAGGCACCGACTTGGCCTCTCTGGCCACCAGGACGGCCCTCGAACTCCTCAAGGCCCAAGGGAAAACTGCCATCCTTATGTTTTCGGATCTCAAGGACGCGTTTTATAGGGTCCTTAGGCAATTTGTTGTGGACAGTGATCCTCTAGACGAGGACGAAGTGGTTGACAGGCTTCAGATCCCGCTCACGCTAGTCCCATCTTTTCAAGCTCTGCTCAGGCAACCGGCCCTCCTTACCAACAAGGCTCACCCTCAGCTCGCCCGCGTGGTGTCCGAGGCAACGGGAGCAACGTGGTTTGGAGTCAAGCTTGCCACGAGCTTAGCGCTCCCCGAGACAGGCACGCGAGCTGGCATGCCGCTCGGGGATATTCTGTTTATCGCCGCGTTCGCCCCTGCTCACGCTAAGGTGCACCAGCGGCTTAAGCAGAGAGGTTTGCTCGTCCCAGTGCAGCGCATGCTAGATGAAGCTTCAGTTCTCTGTGAGCAGTCTTTTTCTAGGGACGAGTACGGGGCCCCTGACAGTGAAGATCTCCAGGGAGCTGCTTTCATGGATGATCTCCTCACCCTGGCCACCCCCCCCTCCACCCCCGAGTGGAAGCCAGCGGTCCAACAGATGGCCAAGATCGTGCACGAAGAACTCATCAGAGTGGGGTTCACCCCCAACTACGACAAATGAAAAACTGAATTAATGGTAGTTTTCTCGGGAGAAGGGTCCATCGCGGCCCGCATCGAGTACGAAGAACAGGGCACGCTCCAAGTCGGAGCGTATGGTATTGAGCTTCACAAGGCTGAATGCTACAAGTACCTGGGGTCCATGCTCCACCGCGGGGGGTCGTGGGGCCCTGAGGTCCACCTCCGAGGGCACGACCAGGCTGTGGTCCTTGGACCTCTCAGGAGGACTGTCTTTGGTCTGAGGGACCTCCCAAAGCAGACTAAGATCAAGTATGCCGTCGCCCTGTGCTGCTCGCGGTTTTTGTACCAGGCTGCGCTATGGACGCTGCCAGTCAAGACTCTCGCCCGTGCGGAAGGAAAATATCTTGACGCTTACAGAGCTGCGCTCAAACCCGACCTCCCGAGGCCACCTGAGCCCAAAGCGTCCCGTGAAGAGGTCCTTGTGAGGGCCCAAAAACCTTCCCTGTCTCTCGTGCTTCGCCTCAGGAGGCTCAGGTTTCTCCCCAGGGTCCTCCGAAACGGCGCTAAGGCCGTGCTTGGCATGTTGGACTTGCTCTCGTCTAGGGAAGGCACGTGGGCCTCCCTTTTGTCCCAGGACTTGGATTGGCTCCCCCACCACGTCTCGCTGCCTCTCTCCCTCTCCCCTCCTGGTGACAAACATTGGTGGATCGACCTTGCTTTCCGAGAGCCTAAGACGTGGAAGGGGTTGTTGAAAAAGGTCGAGGTCGGGGCTACGAGGGCTGAGCTCGACTCTGCCCGTTTGACGCTGTGGCGTAGGGATATCAGGGCTCTGTGCGTGGCGACCCAGGTTCCCCCTCCCCCCACTTGCGGACTCGACGATCCCGATGTGATTTACCTGTGTCCTGAATGTGATGCCACGTTTATTACCCCCCATGCCTGGGCCACACATAGGGCGAAGCATCACCCAGAAGTTGACCTGGCCAGGA